GGCTGAGGGGAGGGGGAGGAGGACAAGCTCTTCCTCGAGGAAGAGCCAAACGCCAAGAGGAGGGGTGGGCATCCACCGATGTATCCAACGGCTTTCTCCCGACGCCATTAATGTAATTATTTCCACCGGTTCCTCGAAACGTTTCGCGGGAATTGAGACTGATCAGCCGGCTGCCGCCTACCCCGAGATAAAGAATCGGCGAGGGGGTCCTCCTAGGGGGATAAGGCCGATGCCTTCCCTCCATTTTTCTTCTTCTCTCTTTCTTTCTCTCTCTGTTCTTTGTCTCTGTCCTTCGCGACTAGAAGAAATATGGGGGGGATGGATGACTCGTCATAACGGTGACGAAGCGTTAAAACGACGAGAGACGCGGTTTGTGTCGGATTTGTGTCGCTCGCTTGCAACCGTGATAATACCCTGATTTCGCGTAATGGGTTTTGCTCGAGGTTTGCCGCTCCCCCCCCGATTCTCTCTTCTCTCTTTTCCACGAAATCGAGAATTCTTCTCCTTCTGTGGGATTGATGACACTTTTGCGACGACGCGTTTGCGCTCTTTCTCTCCTTTCCCCCGCTCGAGAAGACACTTCTCTCTTTTCGAGGATTTCTCTCAAGGGTGGAGGAGGTGATTAAGAATCACCGAAAAAAAAAAGAGATTCAGATCGGTTCGTAACGAATTCACGAATTCTTCGCCTCTTCGACACGTATGAATACGCGTTTTATTTTCACGAGGGGAAATGCCTCCCCTCTTCCCCTTCTTTTTCGAAGAAATCCTTTCTTTCAGAACGAGCTTTCGATTCACGACTCGCTTTCTTCTTTCTCCTCTTCGACGCGAAGTTGCCGCAATTTAGAACAGGTATTTCGGCCCCGTAACCTCGTTGCGCGATCCGTGGTCAAAATTCTTTGTGGAAAAAAAGAAAAGTAATAAATGGCTTTTTGTTAAAAGTCGGGAAATTGAAATGGTGTGTGGATGCAAATGTTAAATTGCTCGCGGTAGATTAAATCGTTGGGAAAAGGGGGGATAAATTCTCGTGTTACACCATGTCCCTGGCGGAAACGTTTATAGAGGAAGACGGTTTCGGCTTCATTCCTAGGCCTGCCCGCAATAAACACAACCAACCGTACGAAATTGTTCGAAGGTAAAATGCAAAGTTTCACGATTGCATTTTCCTGTTTAACATTCTTCGTTCCGTGTTATCCCACGCACACAAGGTACACAATGACGAACAAGCACAAAGCGTCGGTGCAATTGATATCTTGGGGCGCTACCATCCAAGCCATCAAGATACCAAATCAATCGGGCATTTTGGGCGACGTTGTTCTAGGATTCGACGACCTGGAGGGTGAGTAATATCTTTCTATCCGAAACCTGTCCAACCGTCGATAACAACCGTAACAATTCGCGACGAATATAATCAGGATATTTGAAGAACAGGTACATAGGGAGCACGATTGGCCGAGTCGTGAATAAAATTTCTATGGGCAAAGTGAAGATTGACAACAAGGATTATTCTTTGACCATCAACGACAAAAATAGCACGAGCCATTACAACGGGGGTTTCGTCGCGTTCGATAACGTTAATTGGAATTCTTACATATTCAAGAAGCACGTGGTAGGGAAATATATATTCGACGATGTTTCGCTCCTCGATTTTTTATTCCTTACGCTTTCGACAATGCAGGTGATGACCCATACGAGTTCAAAAAACAGCGAGGGATATCCGGGCGATCTGCTTACGCAGATTAAATATTCCTGGACGGATGATAATCAGTTAATCATAAATATCCGCGCTTGCGCTACAGAACCGACACCTGTTAACATTACTAATAATTGTTTGATGAATCTTGCTGGACATGTAAAGTCGTTATCTACTTGATTTCTTAAACGTTTCTCTCGAGAATCAGATTAATC